CTCTCTCTCTCTCTCTCTCTCTCTCTCTCTCTCTCTCTCTCTCTCTCTCTCTCTCTCTCTCTCTCTCTCTCTCGTTGCTGGTAGATACAAAGAAGTCAGGGGGCGAGAGGGTGAGGAAAAGATGGTGGACTTACAGGAAGAAGAAGAAGAACTCAATCTCTCTCTCTCTCTCTCTCTCCGATACTAACCCGTGAAGGTGGCGCCTTGTTGCAGGTACATCGAAGACGAAGCTGGAGCTATGGTGCCGCAGGTGAGTATCCCTGGCCTCCGCCAACCATCCCTCTCTCTCTACTAGCGCCCAACACTGAAGACTACTGCTACTGCTACCACTCCTGCAGAGTGCCGCTCCCTAGTCCTGAAGACTACCTCCTGCCCTCTGCACGTGAAGTGCCTGGGAACTGCGTGCAGCCTACATGGCGGGTCAACATTATATAGTGCTGGCCCGTCCGCGAGGCTGCTCGTGCCTATGCCAAAACGTGCCGGACCCTGGGGTTGACGCTCCACAAAATAGGCCTTAAAGGCCTCAGCTAAAACCCCGGTCTGGTGCCTGAGTTTCAGGGTAGGTCGATCTTGCGAGGGCCTGAAAATGGCCCATCGTTTTCAGGCCGGAGGCCGAAACGACAGAGGGCTTGAAACAGGCCCTACCCCTACGGACCCTTAGTGTACCAGGTCGGGCTCTGTTGGGCTCGTGTGGTAGGAGTATGCCACACTCCCCCCTCCTTGAAAATCCGAGCTTACTTGCCAGGGCGAAGCTGTGTGGTTGAGGGCGGGACTGAAGTCCGGGTGGGAGGTTGTGCAGCTTCCGTCGCTAGCCGTTTCTTCTCATAATGAGCATAGATGTCAGGAGTGGAGGCTCACAAAGCTGCTCGGGAAATCCAGTGCGTGTCATCGGGGTCGCACCACTTGAATGTGACTTTGTACTGCATAGGCTTGTTGCCGTGCTTGCGATGCGTGATGACGCGGTCGATTTCCTGATGACCATCCATGGAAGGAGGGTCCTGTGATCGTCGTCCCGGGAAGTTGTCGCTCTTGGCTGGTGTATATGTGGCGAGCTTGGAGGCGTGGAAAACCGGGTGCACCGTGAGGTGCGGCGGGATTTCAATCACAAATGAATGGCTATCGGGCTCATCACCCGCGGCTGATGTGACGGGCCATGGTCCAAACCACTTTGGAAGTAGCTTGTGGGATACATCCTGCTCGAGGGCAAACTCTTTCGTGGAGACCCAAACAAGGTCGCCGCGCGGATAGGGCATGGCACGCGATGCCTGTTAGATTGCTGTTGCATGCGGACTTGAGCCTTTTGCATGTTGGAGCGGGCTTTAGCCAGCAAGTCCCTATACTTCCGAACGGAGGCGGGCGAACAAGCGGCGTCAATGTCGGCAGTCCTTGGAAAAGGAAGAACAGCGAAGATATGACCTTTCCGGCCACCGTGGTGTACCTCGAACGGAGTCACGCCGATCGTCGGGTGCACCAAAGTGTTGTAGGTGAACTCGATGTCGGGGAGACGGTCCACCCAATCCTTCTGATCCGTACGGATGAGTGTGCGAAACATTACTTGAGCGGTTTGATGTGCCCGCTCCGTCGGCCCTTCCGTTTGCGGATGCCAAGCTGAACTTGGTTTCATCTTGGTGCCAGACTCTTTCATGAGAGAGGTCCAAAATGCCGACATGAAACGAGTGCTGCGGTCGCTGACGATGTCTTCCGGAACGCCGTGGCCGCAAATCCAGCCGGTTTGTAAGAGGCGTGCAAGTTTCGGAGTCGTGGCGTGGTACTTGCAAGGAAGAAATCGTGCGTACTTGCTCAAACTGTTGACGACCTTGAGAATGCCGTTGTGCCCGAAGCGGTCCCAGGGGAACGGGCCGGTGACGTTCATAGCAATGAAGAGGCCGGGTTCCCGTGGAATAGGCAACGGGCGTAACTTGCTGTAGGGGTTGCGATTGCGGGGTTTGCTTCGTCGGCAAACTTCGCAAGAGTCGCAATACGGAGTGACGTCGGTAATGAGGTCAGGCCATCGGAATCGCTACCGAAGTCTTGCGATCGTACGGTTGACTCCGAGGTGGCCGGCGAGTCTCGAGTCGTGGTACTCGCCGAGGAGACGAGTCCGTAAGCGACGGTCGTGTGGGACGCATAGTAAGTCCTTGCCTCGTGAGTGAAGCAGCAGGTAGCCATCGACGATGCGATAGTGGCTGGCCGGCGGGTGATCCGAGGATAGTTGCTCGTAGAGCGTGCCGTATTCCGGATCGGACTTGTATGCTTGCACAAAATGCTGATGAAGGGTTTTGTCGAAACTGAACGCGTGGTGAGTCACTGCGCAAAGATCTGATCTTCGCGAGAGAGCATCCTCGGCTTGGTTGGAGAGGCCCGGAATGTGTTTCGGTGTGAAGTCGAACTGATCGAGGAAGTACATCCACCGAGTGATCGTGCTGCTCACCGTGTCTTGCGTCTTGTAGTAGGTCAATGGGTTATTATCCGTCACCCAAGTGAACCTATGACGCCCGAGGAGGAAGTGTCGCCAACGCTTGAGTACCGTGAACGTGAGCAACTCCTTCTTCCGCGCGTCATCAACCGAGTTGATGGGAGGCACCTTGAAGTACTCAACCAGATGCTAATCTACTCCGTCGTGTTGTTCCAAAACTGCACCCATGCCGTAGCCGGAAGCGTCCGTAGTCACTCTTGTAGGCAAGGTGGGATCGTAGATACTCCAGACGGGGGCGAGGAGCAAAGCCGTCTTCAATTTGTGGAACGAACTGTGAACTTCATCGGTGATGTGGAAGGGCACCTGTGGAGACTGCAATCTGGACAAAGGTGCAATGATCCGTGCGTATCCTCCGATGAAACGTTGGTAGTACCCGACCAATCCCATGAAAGAGCGAACCTCCGTGGTGTTGGTCGGTTCCGACCAATCCTGAATGGCCTCGATCTTGTCCGCAAGCGGACGGATGCCTCGCGGCGTCACAAAGTGGCCCAAGTACTCGAGCTCCTACTGTGCGAATTCGCACTTGGCTTGGTTGGCCTTGTACTTGGCCGTACGAAGCCTGTCCAAAACAGCACGTAGATGCACGATGTGCTCGTCCAAAGTTCGGCTATACACCAAGATGTCATCGAGGTAGATGAGCACGAACCGGTCCAACATGTCGCGAAACTCCGTTGTCATTGCCGCTTGGAAGGTGGCCGAGGCATTCGTGAGGCTGAATGGCATTACGACCCACTCGAAGTGCCCGTACCGTGTCTTGAACGAGGTTGTGTACCTATCTCTTGGATGGATCTCGAGCTGGTGGTAACCGGATCTGAGGTCCAACTTGGAGAAATACTTGGCACCGCCCAATCGTTCGAGAAGATCGTCGATGCGTGGGAGCGGGCCGACATTCTTAATGGTTTGAGCATTAAGCTTGCGATAGTCAATGCATAAGCGCAACTCCTTGTTCTTCTTCCGAACAAAGAGAACATGTGCGCCGTAGGGCGAGCAGTGAGGGCGAATCCAGCCTTTGTCAATGTGGTCATCGAGTTGCGTTCGAAGCACTTTGAGTTCCTCCTCGCTCATGCGAAACACATCCGCGCGGAGGTACGGCCCCGTCTTTGAGGATGATCTCGTGACGAATTGGCTGATTCGGTACGATTCCGGCAGGGGCTTCAAAGACGTCGCCATAGGAGTCAAGAAGTTGTACAATGCGTGGATCCGGTGGCTGTTCCGCCGCTGGCTCGTCGTGAGGAGGGAGGGCGTGCAAGAAACAAATGCCCATGTCCTCCACGTCGTTCCGTGCGATGGAGTTGCGAATGCTCACCGCGGAGACCACGTGACAACCAATCGAAGGATGAGGTGGGAGGACCGTACATGGCACAAGTACCCCGTTCCGGTCCCGAACGTGAACGGTGCGGCTGTAGAAGTTCACTGGGTGGTCCTCTCTGCGCAGCCATGACATGCCCAAAATCATGTCGAACTTTGTGTCCAATATGTCAAAGGACACGGCCTCGCGTGCCAGCGGGGCGAAGTACACGGGGACGAAGTCAACGCACCGGTCAATGGACTTGTGTGTACGACCGTCGACCAACGTAACTTGCGTGGGCTGCAATTTCCTTCGAACGCGCGGCCCAAGGCCGGTGCGGGTCATGAAATCATGGCTGATCTTGTTGCGAGTAGCTCCACAATCAATCAAGGCACTGCAGGTCGCCTTCCTGATCTGAATGCGGACGGAGAGTAACGGTGCGTCGGTGTCGTCGTACCGTTGCGTGGCGTACTCGCGGTCAATCTTCGCAATGTACTCGCGAAGGTCAACAACCGCTACTCCGTCTTCCATCAACGGAGCTGGTACTGCAGCGTGCAAGTAGTTGCGTAGCTCCGCCATTAGGGCGTCGCAATGCGGCTTCGGCAATGAACTAGATGGGGGAAGAGGCAATGGAAGTCCTCCGGTGTCAATGGGTGGAGTTCCTCAAGTCTATACCACACCGATGAGTCCCCGAGTGATGTTGGCGAGGATGCTGGTTCACTTGGCGATGGTGATGAAGTCGCGCACGCATAAGACTCTTGCACGTGGAGAGGTTGGTCCAACGGCGGGACCAACTGGACAGCATAGTCTTCATAATCTTCGCGAAGACTAGCAACATGGCGCATGTTCCCCAAACGTGGAGGAGGTTGTTAGCAAAGCAACCGTGTCCGGCGGAGTAGGAAGTGGAGTCGTCTCACTTCCTGCGAAGCTCAGTTTCTTGAGTTTTGCCGTGGACGGACGTCTTCTTTGCCTTTGTCAGGGCATTGCGACGTCGTATGCTTGGTGCTGTTGCACCAGTAGCAACAGCTCCACCTCTGGCGGAGTTTGTATTGCTCCTCCGTGAGGTTGAACTTCTTCCATGGCTCATTCGGCTGTCCGGCTTCCATTGTTGACGCAGATTTCGCCTTCTTCTTCTTCTTGTTGTTGTTGCGTCGTGGCGGAAGGGCGTTGACTCCGTCTCCTTCACTAGACTCGTGAGTCATCGCCTGGTCGTTCTCTTGTCCATTTCCTTGGACAGCAGCGACTTGCTGCAGCCGCGGGCCTTTGCCTTTTTCCACAAAAGTTGGTTGGCTTCGCCGCTCGTTGGCTGCCCACCGATTGGTTTGGATGACTTTGCGCACCTTCTCCACGATCTGGTCGAAGTCCGTGTACAGGCTGCGCTTCCCAAGGGCCGTGCTCAACGCGTCCACTGACAGCTGGAAAAATTTGCGACGAAGATGTACGAATGGGATGTCCAAATTCGGAATCGTCACGATTTTCTGCCACTCGGTTAACCATTCGCGTGTTGGCTGGCTGCCTTGATGCATGCTGAAGATTCGGTTCACGCCTTTGCCCTGAGCATCGTCGACGATGAAGCGTTTCCGCCACTTCTTGGTCATGGCCTCCCAAGTGATCTTGGTATAGAGCTTCGAGACGTCGACGCCTTCGGTTTGAGCTAGGTGGTTGAGCCACACTTGGCTGGCACTGGTGCTGCAGAGGTAAAGCGCTGAGATCTTCGACTCGGGCGGGACCAAGTGGATGTCGAGCTCATTGGTGAATCCTTGCCACCAACTGATGGGGTCCACCTTGTGGTAGTCATCAAACTTGTCTATGCTGAACTTCGGCATCTTGTACTGTTTCGGTGTCACGTTGTTGCAGGTCCCAGTTGGTTGCTGCTGCAGTTGACGCAGCTCCGCTTGTAGGGCGGCTATTTGCTGGCTGATGGTTGTCGGATGTCGGAAACTTTTCAAATTGCCGACAAGTGCGACGAGGTGATCCATTCGTTCTTCCAGCTCGCGTATCGATGGATCGATGCTTGACGATGCCGTGTGCCTGTGGCACGTCATCCTTCTCCACGTCAAGGCGGGCGTGGAGGCTCTTGAGAGTCTCCTTGTACTTAGTGATGGTAGGTGCCTGCCGAGCCAGCTCCCCTTGTTGCCAGTTACAAGTGAGGATGACTTGGTGCATCATGCTGGCGAGAGCTGACTTAGTCTGGTCCTCCGTAGCAGGTTCCGTTGTTTCCGTCGGGTCAACATGCCATGCTTGGAGTGCGGCGGTATGAGCGGCTTCCTGCTGCATGAGGACAGACGCGGCATCTCTCCGAGCTTTATTGTGGTTGGCAGCTGCGTCAGCTTGCTGCCGGCGTCGTTGCTCTTCTGCGCGTGCAATGGCATTGAGGCGTGCCGCTTCGGCTGCCGCCTCACGTTGTTGTTCCTCTTGGACCTGCTGCATGTAGGTGCCCAGGCGGACCAGGAAGGCCGTCATGGTCTCTCCTTGCTGCCGGACTGGTGCAGCGTCGAGGGTTCCCGCAGAAGTCGCAGTGGAACCCTCCTGCTGGGCCTGTGGGGCCGGGTGGTTCGAGCTGCATGCTTCACTTGGACTGCCGGATGCGGCATTGTCCACCGTGGGGTTGCCCTGGGTGTCCATTTCAGAGGGGTGGGGCAGAGGTAGCTGCTGTTCTGCTGCGGCTGCCCGCCCTTCTCGTGCTGCGATGCGGTTGCTGCGTCGGAGCATAAGCTGCAGTTAGCTGTACGGTGTTGATGACGCGGTACTGCTGACGTGGCCTTGCTGCTGACGTGGCGCTGTTGTCGTGGCACTGCTACTGACGTGGCACTGTCGTGACCCTGCTGTAACTGACGTGGCACTGTCACTGACGTGGCATTGCTGACGTGGCACTTACCAAGGCGAGAAAACAGACAGGGGGCTGGGTGGGAGGGAAATGCAGGCAAACCCTCAAACTGCAATGTCCATGCCGGTCCTAATCAACAGAGAAATAAAAAATAAAAAATAAAAGAAGCGGATCACCCCCTTTTTTTCTTTTTTCTTTTTTTGCATATCTGTCGATCTGTTTTCAGTGAGCCATTTTTCGGACAATGCTATGAGTGGGATCTAGGCCAGGTAGGGTAGAGGTTCGACTTTCAGCAAAGGAATAAATTCAGTTTCCGAGAATGTGACAACCTCCTATTTGCCTAGAAAACGAAATGCTGATAGGCTTTCAGAGACCAACTTTTTGCGAGATAGAAAGGAGATTCGATTTTCAGAAAAGAATAAATTCCGTTTCCAGAATATGACAACTACCGTCGTAACCCTAATATGCCTAGAAAACGAGATATCCACGTCAGAAAATTTTCGGATACTACTATCAGAAAAAACGAAATGCTACGATCAGAAATTTTCGGATATTTGCTACCTGAAAAAAAAACGAAGTGCGAATTTCGGAACTTTTCAGATAAAACGAGATGTTATTATCAGAAATTTTCAGATATTTGTTGCGTGAAAACGAAATGCAACTCTCAGAAATTTTCAGATAAAACGAAATGCTAATATCCCAAAAAAGAAAAAAAAGAAAAGAGGAAAAAAGATTTGCAGAGATTTTGACGAAACCCTACTTGATTTACCAACCAACCAACCAACCAATCAATCAATCAATCAATCAATCAATAGATCAAGCCAGCTGGCTACTTGGTTGGGCGGATCTTGATGAAAAAGATCTGCTCCGCTACCAAACTGTTGCATACCATGATGGTGCAGACCAGACCAAGAACCGATCTTTCTTGCCAGATACAAGATTGCACAACGGAAGGCTTAGATACCAATGATCCGATCAATCAAGCTGTTGTGCAGACCAAACATGCATCATCATCATTCCATGGTGTGAAGGGGGSCTGRCGSGCACACAKGAAGAATGCGTMWGTCCCCGATCATACACAGACGAAGAAGAGGGGGATTAGACGAAGGGGAGGGGGAGATGGAAATGTCGTCAACTCCAAGTCTTCGATACAGTCCCAAATAATCCCTTGCCAAASGTCTGAATCCCGATGCTGAGTCTGAACGCCAATGTCGTCAAATCCCAATGTCGCCCATCTCTCTCTCTCTCTCTCTCTCGTAGCTGGTAGATACAGAGAAGTCAGGGGGCGAGAGGGTGAGCCCGACCTGGTAGACTAAGGGTCCGTAGGGGTAGGGGCTGTTTCAGGCCCTCTGTTGTTTCGGCCTCCAGCCTGAAAACGACAGGCCATTTTCAGGCCCTCGCAAGATCGACCTACCCTGAAACTCAGGCACCAGACCGAGGTTTTGGCTCAGGCCTTTAAGGCACATTTTGTGGAGCGTCAACCCCAGGGTCTGGCACGTTTTGGCATAGGCACGAGCAGCCTCGGGGACGGGCCAGCACTATATAATGCTGACCCGCCCTGTAGGCTGCAGGCAGTTCCCAGGAACTTCACGTGCAGAGGGCAGGAGGTAGTCTTCAGGACTCGGCAGCGGCACTCTGCAGGAGTGGTAGAAGTAGCAGTAGTCTTCAGCGCTGGGCGCTAGTAGAGAGAGAGAGGGATGGTTGGCAGAGGCCAGGGATACTCACCTGCGGCCCCATAGCTCCAGCTTCGTCTTCGATGTACCTGCAGCAAGGCGCCACCTTCACAGGTTAGTATCGGACACAGAGAGAGAGAGAGAGAGAGAGAGAGAGAGAGAGAGAGAGAGAGAGAGAGAGAGAGAGAGAGAGAGCTAACGTGAGCAAGAGGGAGCAAACTAATGACAGAGAGAGTGAGCTAATGTGAGAGTGAGAGCGAGCTAACATGAGATAGAGGGCGAGCCAACGTGAGAAAGCGAGCTAACATGAGAGAGAGGCATGCCGTGAAAGGGAAAGATGATGGGAGAGAAAGCAAGAGGACAGTGAGAGGGATGAACACAATGATGGGGGGAGCATGAACTGGGTGGAGAGAGAGAGAGAGAGA